ATTGTTATGCATTATTATTATGACTTACTTAGAACAAAACATAAAAACGCATTTTGAGTATTTACATCTATAGTATATATTTTATTATGTATAGATGTTAAAATCCTACAAGAATCGACTCCCTTTATCAGAGAAAAATATAATAACTTTTACAAATCAAGAATAAAGATAGGATGTCCATTTGGACATGGACAAATATTGACTTTGTTTTACTTTTCCAAGATTAGAAAAAGCTAAGTGGCGCCAGGTTTTTCGACTGAAAGCGAGGCTAGCGCTGATCAACATTTCTTATGACAAAAATTGGAGTCGTAATTGTGACGTCACTTATCAGCATTCCGACACTAAGGAACAAATTTCACTCTCACAGTATTCCGTATCCATAAAAAAGCATTAAAATTAGCTTTCTAAATGTGAGAGACTTTTAATACATTATATTTCAATAGCAATAGTTCATAAAACATATAATTATGATACCAGTAATTTAAAAACCGCAAAGACGAGAAATAAAACTTCACCCTGCATTGTTTTGCAGCCAATAGGAGAACGACGTCTTCGTCTCCAGGACGACGTCTTGTTTCAGAAGTCCAGCCGACAAGAAGGAACATCGCAGACGTCGGCTGGAATATTTCTATCAAGGATACAACATGAATGCGCAGTAAAGTAAATAAACCGCGATCATAATGGCGTTTAGGGACCCAGAAGGCCGGGCAGAGGAACAACTCAAAGAGAGAGGTTATGTTCTTGGGGAGGTTTTGGGAGAAGGATCTTATGCGAAGGTCCGCGCCGCTTTCAGCAAGAATTACAACCGTCGTGTAGCAATGAAGATCATCAACAGAAGAAGAGCGCCTCGTGACTTTTTAGCCCGTTTTCTCCCAAGAGAACTAGAAATTATACAAAAACTTGATCATCCAAATATTATCAAAACGTTTGACATCATGGAATTCGGCCAGAAGGTAAGACCTTTAGCTTACACATGCCGCAAATTCTTTTCACTTATCCGTCCTCAATGCTTAAGAAAACACTTTTGCTTTTTTTACCTACTTTAAAGCTTGTTAACATTTCTTTTTTTATCATTTTTAAAGCACGCTTTTTAAATCATTAAAACAATAGTTATTCTTCTAATGATATATAATTAAAACTAAGTAACGTATATACGATCACAATCAACTCAGACCAAATTAAGAATTGTGGAAAAAAAATTAGACCAAACCTGAGTGAACTGACGCAAATTTAGAATATATGGAAAGTCAGGATGTAAAAAGTGTTACAATCCATGTTTATCACAACATTAATTGTTCGATCTTTTTTACCTGTTACTGACAATCTTTTCTAACAAAATTAAATAAATAAATAAATACATAAATACATACATAAAATAAAAAAGAGAGACGGGGAGATTTGTGGCATTCTTAAGTCTTCAGACTATGTTTCAAGGTGGTCTTTTTTCCCTGTTTTTTTTTCCTTCTTTTCTTTTCTAAAGACGCGGGTGCTGTAACCGCCGCAATTAATTCTGATTCTAAAATCGTTCTGAGAAATTGCAAATTTTGACTAACGTTTATACATTAATGTCATGTGGGGGGGGGGGGGGGCTTGAAACTAGAGTTTAGAGTGACGTATTGGCCTGGTATAGATGTGGTCTGGACAATCAATTTGGGATTTTAACCAAACAACCTTTTTATCCACACCCTCTTTATACTTGCCGGTCTGAAAATTCATAGGAGGCAAAACGTTAAAACGTTGATTTTATTTCCTCGAGACAGAAATATTTCCACCTCTTGTGAGTGATCCCAAATATCGAAACCCCTTTTGTCTTTTGTTTACAGTCAATAGAGTTTAAAGCAATATAGTGGAAACCCGGAAACCACTCAAACCTCATATAGATGCAAGAGATGGTCATTCTGCGGGTGGGATAAAACAATCATTTATTATCTTTGTTTTAGGTATTCATCAGCATGGAGATTGCAGGCCACGGTGATTTGCTAGAATTTATCCGGTTACGAGGCGCCATTCCAGAGGAAACAGCTAAAATCATGTTTCTAGAATTTGTAGACGCGGTAGATTATCTGCATTGTAACGGTGTTACTCACAGGTAGGTAGTGACTGCTATATCAGACTACTCTGGAGATAAAATGGACGCACGCGTCTTCTGTGCTCTGAACGTCACTGATCTTGTGATACAGTTTAAAGTGGACTAGACAACTCTTTACGTTTCTAAGGGTGCATTCCCAGAGATTTAGATCGATCCAGGGATTAAGATTTATATCTACCTAACTCCCTGGGGGTTCACGCAGTCAGCAGAGCGCGCACCATAGTTAATTAACCCTTTACAGCTTTTAGTAGGAGGGACAGACGCTTAAGCCGGCTAAGCTGACAGTAATCTAGTGAGACTCCCCACAGGGATAGATCGATCTAAAATCTATGGAAATGGGGTCTAAGAGTAAGATCTAGATTTTAATTTTTAAAAGCTTGAAACTGTGAATACTTCAGATCATTGTTCTTTTTGAACTTTGTTACTAAGTGGAAATAAAAGATAACATGTTTTCATTTCTACTTATTAATAAAGTGGAAATGAAAGCTAACATGTTTTTATATTTTAGGGATCTTAAATGTGAGAATATTCTGATCGACGTACATAACAACATCAAGCTGTCTGACTTTGGCTTTGCTCGGACTTTTACTGACGGCGAGTTCAGCCGGACTTTCTGCGGCAGTGCTGCATACGCCGCCCCAGAGATACTACAGGGACACCCGTATAACATGCCGGCTTATGATATTTGGAGTATGGGAGTCGTTTTATATATCATGGTAAAATACTAGCATTTCTCTCTCTCTCTCTCTCTCTCTCTCTCTCTCTCTCCACCCAAACCCAATATAGAGGTGCAATTGATGTCACAAGCATGTTATTAAAAATATTTACTGCACAGATTGCTAACTGTATTTGATTATTTTAGGGTCCCACATGAAGAAGCTTGTATTAAAGTTTCACTCTCCTGGAACCATGAATAATTAAAAATAATTCATCGTTAAACCCAAAAAGGAACATACCTTACTGTCACAAATACAAAACGTCCAACTGTGAAACGTTCTACTCACTTTGAAAATTCAGTCATCACTGGTTTGTTCATTGATTTATCTCCTACAAGTATAACGTTGCTAAAAATTATAATAATCTTCTGTATAGAGCAGTTAATTGTTTTTGAGCGACTTTAGTTTGCCTGTCACAGAATATTTAAAAAATGGGGAAAATACACCCTACCGACAGTAAAATAAGCATTTAATAAAAAATTTTCCCTTCATAATACAAATATTATATCAGAAATGTCAAACTATCATGGAACCACAATATATTGTTCGGTCAGCAAAAGAAAACATTGTATCTCTTGCACACAAGTACTTGAACAAAATGAAACATTTTGACAATTTTTCTAGGGAACATACGTTACCTAGTATAAGTGATGACGCAAAGCCCCTTGAGATACAGTTTAAATATTTATAAAAACGTCCTTACGTCATGTCTAATTTACCATGACTGAACCATTAAAAAATATATCGGAACTCGGCATAAAAATAAAAATTAAATGGCAAGAACATACGTTACCCTACGGTTTTTGGAACATACTGTTGTAAAGTTAATTACTTACCCTTACACTCATTACAATTAGTAATAAAAGGGAAATCAAATAGATGTAAAGTTAGAGTGATATTGAGTGCAAATTAAGTTTCATCGAGTGTCAACAAGTGTAGAACATGTTTTTAGTGTCAGAAGAAGATGGAAAAGGTCAAAGTCAATAACATTTAATGTGATTGGTTAATTTCATAACAGATTTTAATTTTGATCAACTGTTTATCACATGATAACTAAGTTTTGGACATGATTCAAGTATGAGTAATGCAAATAGTATTTTGGATGAGTTTAGTTGAAAACAAGGTTCTTAGACATTACCTAATAAGGGAATGTTCTATGGTAAAGTAAACATGACAATGGAAAGTTTCTGGAAATCACGCCATAAACAATAAAAAGAACATAATTACACGCGTGATCAGTACGGAGAATTAGAGTATGAATATGGGTAAAATTGTATGAAAATTAAGTGGTGAATAAATGATTGAAGACTCCAGAATCTCGTCGTCGTTATAATAATACGTTACCATATAGGGCTCTTTGCGTAATGTTAAAGACATGGTAAAATTTAAAAATTGAATTTCAGTTGAGACAGTCGTGGATTTTTGTTCTATACACATATAGCCTATGTTTTGAAATATTGTATACAATTTTGAATTCATTCATTTTTATTTTTTGACACTTCAGCATGTGAAATGCACCTCTATATTGGGTTTGGGTGTCTCTCTCTCTCTCTTCCTTAAATAGTTATATTATGATTTTAAGTAAAAGTCCTTAATCATCTCTTCAAAATGATATATATATATATTCTTTTTGTTGTTGTCAGGTAACGGGTTCCATGCCTTACGACGATTCCAACATTAAACGGATGATCAGGGAACAGCTGGAGAGACATGTGAGGTTTCCTAGGGGTGTCCGCGTGACCACCCCCTGTCAGAGCCTCATACATCACGCGCTGACTGCTGACGTGTCAAGACGTGCGACCATAGCTGATATACGTGCTAGTGAGTGGATGGCAGGGGCACGTGCTCTGCTAAACGAGAAACAAAAGAAGTCCGGACCCCAAAACAAAGTTGAGCAGCGGTCAAAACCCAATAAAAATGAACGCAACATTGTTCAGCAGATGGCCAAAAAGCTAGATACTGTGAATAACAACGTAGCATCTTCCAGTAAGGATACTTCTGATACGACGGCGAGGCAAGGTGGCTCTAGTGAGCTGGCAGCCGATATGAAAGGGTTATCCACGGAGTAATAGCATTTTATTATCATAACCCAGGCAACTGTCACCGTTTTTACACTGTTTTGATCTATGGTCTCCGTGGTCTCATCAAAATGGGGAAATGCTTAGGAAAAAGCTCGTCTCAAGATCAAGAGTTTTACCTTTAGTTCTCAAAGCAATACAAACCAGGATATCATTGTAAACTCATTGTGGCCGGATGTTCCAATCTGACAATTGTGTTCTACACAGCTATGTCGCAGCTGATGCAATTATCAACTGACAAAATTGACCCCAACGAACATTACATTAAACAGGAAATTCTGTCTCTCAGTACTGAAATGAATCGTGCAAAGTTATTCGTAATATAAACTAAAACCATGGGACAAGTGTTAAGTTGGAAACCGCGCTGCCTTATCTTATATAATGATAATAAAATTAAAATAAATTATTATTTGGCTCTTACTGGTATATATTTGAAATTGAAAGCAATTTACCATGCCTGGCAATAAAAGAACTATGACGCAGGAACTGACAAATGTCTGTATAGGCCTAAATTGGCCCCCTATAGCATTGACAACAAATAAAACCCTGGATAATAGCATGTATTGATATCAGTGTGTACATTTACCACCTCATCTACATTTTGGTATCTTTTCTTTATCTATTTTATTCGCGATTGGTTCTAATAAAACAAACCGGAAGGATGCTCTCTCATATAGCATCGCTTTTGCAGAAATTGTAAATTGCACTTTTATTACACAATTGTTACAATGTCATTCTTAAATCAACATCAAAGCACGATGATTCTTATGCATATCACCAATGAATAAAATAATTTATCTTAGTAGAAGAATCACAGGGACAGAAACTTCCACAAATAATGGGAAATGTGCTGGTGCAGTGTTATGACAAAAATCATCGCATTAGTTATAATTACATTAGTTATATTACTTATTAAACATATAAGATATATTGCAAGTGTTGATGAATATTCTAATTATGACAAGGTTATGTAAATATAACACACACCATTTGAAATCTTTCCTTTTCACTTCCACTCCCCGAATTTTCCCTCCGTATGACGACATTTGTCAGTCCTAATTATGTCGTGAAAGTTGAAGCGTTTTTCTCATAATGCTTAAAACACAACTTGCAGTTTATATTCACATTGTAAATGGAGCACTATTACAAAAAATTTAAATGGGAGGGTGAAATACACATAGCATTGCGTTATATAGCACCATAATTTTTAGTTATCATCTTAAGGGATAACTTAGCGCGAAATCTGCGCAGATTGCATAAAAGCATATTTCTTTTGTAAATTTCTTTGGCTTTTACTTAAATCATAACGTATCCATACTAAATTAAATTCGTTACGACAGAAATATTTATTTTTGTATGTTTCTGTCATGATAGAGCAATATAAAGTAAATGTGAAGTTTTGCGGGACGCTACCTCTAGAAAACCGTCTGGATTATACCCCTCTCTCCATTTTTTTTCTTTTTTTGCATATCTTTACTTCTATGGTCTCTATATTAAGTCTCTCAAATTTTATCAGGGACCCGTTTCACAAAGCTCTCGTTTATTAGTGATCGCTCGTTAGCCTCTCGTTATTTATGAGTGCCGTTTCACGAAGCTGTCGGTAGTTAGTTCTCTCGTTCGTTATTGTCTCATTTTAACCATGGATATTTAACGAGTGGATCAGACCACTCGCAAAGTTTTATCGTACGCATGCTTAATGAATGAAACAAAAAGGATGTAGTCTAGTGGGATTTCCACAAAAGATGAATAGTAGGGGCATTTTGGGGTAAAAGTTGGGAACCAGGCTTATTGGCATAATTTTGGGATGCTGAATCCGATTAACCCGGTTCCCAAGCGAAATTTTGCGTTTTTAACGGTCTAATTTGCAAAAAACAAAATGGCCGCCAGATTTCCTATTTTCTGCAATATCTCTGGAACTAGACAGGCAAATATGACAAATGAAGTGTCTTTACCTATATTTTCAGGGTCGAGGAACATTATTAAGATGTTTCTGTTA